TAAGAGGGTGTGAGCGTGAGTGTCAAAAAAGAATATACCTACATCCACATCCTAGAATTAGCTGTTTCCACCTAATGTTTACTCTTATAAGTCATATATATCAAAGAAAAGTATGTCATTTATTGGTTCGGACAATTTGAAGAACAAGAATTTTAGGATGCTTTAGATATCAAACAAAGAGGTTATACAACAAATTTTCAATGATCTTATACAAACTATGAGAAAAGAATTTGCCAAAATTGAGATTGTGAGAATCAGTATTGCATATTCATGAGTTCCATTCCTACTATATCATCTAAAATGCCAACTCGATTGCTTTTTCATTTATTAATCTTCGTATTTTATTCACTACGGAAAGAGTTGTTATTCACCATGTGAATATAAAGTTTATTTTGCAATAGGTTTCTTCGATATTGCTGAAAGCTGTTCTTAACAAGTAAATGAAGTATTACATTTAGTTATTCTCACATCATACACGAAATCGAACAGTCAGGAGTGGCGGTCGAAAGGGACGCCGACGACCAACTGCGAGCTGTATTTTATAGTTCACGTTAGAAAATGTCAACAGAAAATTGAGATGATCGATTCTTTTACAAAATGATCTTTCCTGACAACATTATACAGTGGCTTGTAAATATGCATATATGCTCAGTAATAATTTTCAAAAACAGCATCGAGCAAACAATGATAGATGATGATTAGATTGAATTCAGTCGAAGATCAAGCGAGTCATGGCAAAGAGCATTAATTGTTTTAAAATATTTAATTTTCCAAAATATTTTTTGTAAAAAATTAATTGAAACTGATTTTATTGAATAAATTAATAGTAATAAATTATTTTATTTGATTATTTTTAAATATGAAATTTATTTTTACAAATTATTAAATGAAATTTTTCGTTAAATTCAATTATTTATTTTTATTTGTTAACAGTTTCAAATATTTAACTATTCGGCACTCTCAGCAAGAGAGATACCACGTGTATATGTTTCTGCGGTACCGTCAGGAAGATTTAAAGTTGAAAATTTGAAACTTGAGACTTGGATTGAATTCAACTGTCAAGTTTGACACATGTAAAAGTCAGTAAATACTTTTTCATGGTTATTAGTCGATGAACTTTAAGAATTTATCCACCTATTTCAACAATAATTTTCATTGTCAATTGACATATAATAAAAGTAACAAAGAATTTGTTTAACAACATTATGATTCAATTGAAAAAATAAAACAACATTAAATTTGAATAACACGAAAAATCTCAGAAACATATTCATTTTTATTTGAATTTCTATTGAGAAGAATTCTTTTTCGTAAATAAATTTATCAAAATTTATTAAACAATTCTTGACAAATATCTCGGAATAAAACTAAACTTTCTCTTCCATTAAATAATTTTTATTAGAAATTTTTCTTTTTACATTTATTTTAAATATCAAAATTCATCGATTAGAATAAATATTTTTACTGCTCAACTATTTTAAATGAATTTAACATTGTTTCTAGAAAACAAAAATTTTCTCAAATGATCTTCAATAATGTAAAATATATAAATACGGTTGTTTCAGTCAAGTAAAAAAAACTCTTTTTCAAATAAAAATAAATCTGTTCAATGATAAGCTCAGTAATTATGTCAAATCTTGTTGTTTTTTTTTCAATACAACGATTATTAAAAGTTCAACAATGCTTTACAAACTATGTCAACTTTATTCAATTTAGAATTCGAATTCAAGTCAATTTGATTTCGATTAGTGACAAATTTATCATCAATTTTATTTATATAAAATAATTCAAAGATTATTAATCAACGAAACTTTATAACGAATTCATTAACTATTCTAGAAACTTCAACCTTAACTCTTGTAATTCTAAGGACTAACATTTAATATAACCGATAATTCCATCTATCTAAGGTTGTTTGACATCATCACACTTTCATGTTACCTTCCACATGAGCACAGCTATATGTAAGATAAGTCTTAGCTCAATGCACCTTATATTCGCACTAAGATGGTAATTTTTTCCTGAGAAGATAACTCTTATAGCTGTAACAGTAAAAACACTCGAACTCTTCAGAAACAGACCGTGAACATGAACTCTTTTTATAGTAGATATAATTCACTAAAGTCTACGAGATGTACTAAGATCTGAAACAAAAATGAATTGACATCTGGGATTGTTCCTTCGTAGACTGTTTTAGTCAATCAAAGATTTAATAGAGAGATAAAAATGGAATCAGTGATTCACAAATTAATGATAGAAATCTGCAAAGAGAAAAGTATGTTCGAATGTTGATGAATAGTAGATTGAGCACAAGCATATTTTCAAAATAGAAGAAATAACCGTAGGATTTTGGAAGTATTCTATATAGAGAGTTATGTCTATCATTAATAGACGAAGAAAATCAATTATGTATGCTTTCAATTTAAAGTAGACTTGACTGAAGATTAGTGTACTGCATCGGACTCCAAATTCCAACTCGAACTCGAACTCCAATGGAGTTGAAGTGGAGTTGGAGTTGCAAAACCAAAAATTTTCGGAGTTGGAGTTGGAGTTGAGAAAAAAGCGTTTTTTGGAATTGGAGTTGGAATGATCAAGAGGATTTTTTTTGGGCCAATATCAGAGTTGCATCAGTAAAACAGTTAAATATGTTTACTTTTATATGGCAACAAATTTATTACATAAGTTACCTGATGAACATAAATTTAGTACTTTAACTTCATAAGTTACAAGCTATAATATCAGTAGTGTTCACCTTACCATATAGCAGAAAAAAGTAAGTCCTATATGAATGAATATCTTGTGATAATCCATTCTAAGCACGAGAATGACCAAGATGACACTAAACTGCGCAAAAAAAAAGAATTTGGAGTTTTTTGGAGTTGGAGCCGGAGTTTAGGAGTTCTTTTCACGGAGTTAGAGTTGGAGTTGAAAAAGAAAGTTTTTTTGAAGTTGGAGTTGGAGTCAGAAATACCGACAATGCAGTTCACTACTGAAGATTGATATCATAAGAAATATGATTAACAAGTTTCATAAATAGCGTATGACTATAGTTGAAATAAGGATTTGAGGATGAGGCTGTCTTTGTATAAACTTATACACAACACAAATATTTCTTATATTTTATAACTAAAATCAATAGAGATTTTATATGTAGAAAAACTTCCGAGATCAGTCATTAGATACAATTGAGAGTTTCTATGAGATTATACACTGATATAAGTAATCGTCCTCATAACATTAATTTAAGACTTCATAAGTAAATTATTGAAAACCACATTATAAAGAAAACTTAATTCGGTTAAGCGCTTCATTTAGGATCATGTTTGCGTGGATTTCAACATGTGACAGAAATAAACAGGAGCCACGGTTGCTTTTCTTTCCCATAATGTGTAAACGATACATAATATCTGAGTGAGACATCGGAATGCAGAAAAATATTTAAAATCCGAAACGTCTGTACAATGTAACTTGCGAGAACTTTCGATAACGAGCTTTATTGTTGAAGAAAAAGAGAGTTTCATATGTACAATCTGCATCAAACAAACAACGTAAATATAACTAATAGATGCAGCTACAATGTTCATAATTACGAGGTGGCCAGCCATCTTATTTGTGATGCTGGCAAGGTTGAGTGCTGTCGTCTTTTGAGCGACTGAAGAATGGAAACGAATCTTGCGTTTCTCTGGCATCATTAATGCTTTTGAAATAAATAGAGATACATTTATTGATTTTTTTCTAAACTAAACAAGAATTACTTACTAGATTCATTTTGTTTCTTGCTACTTTTGCTTCCCATTTGTCAGCAATGAACTTTCGTTATAACAGTGATTTTAATATTGAACTCGTTCAATTGCTTATATATCACATGTTATATGGCCTATAAGAAAAAAAAAAGACATTAAGCAGAACGCACACGTCGTCTCATTAGACAATATAATTTGTCTCACTCTATTGCATGAAATATTTTAAGAAAAAAAGGCTGTGGGTGTGACTCAGTCAGACAAGCGTTGAAAAAAACGACGTTTTTACGCGTAAAAGGGTGTGGATGTGGGTGTGGATTTACATTGCCCGTATCCAAACCTCACCCACAGGCACACCCACACCCATATCCTTGCATTATTATGAGATTTGTGCATCAGTTCTTTTTAACATATTATTGTTCAAGCACTTCTTGTGGGTATGGGTTTGGGGGCGGGGGTAGGGGTCTAGGTGTGGTTGTGGATGTATATGTGAATTCTCATTTCATCCGTATCCTACACTCTTTTTGCTTCGAAATGTCTTATTTAGGAAAAAACACATGTCTGATTCTTTTGTGTGTGAATCATGAATATTTATGATACAAAAGTGAATAACAGTATTTGAGGCAAAAGCTTATCAAAACTGTTCGAAAATAGCTTTGTTTTGTCATTAAATGATTCCTCGCGAAATTCTGTATCTAGTAAGCCATGAACCAACCAAAATTGGCGATGGTCCAAAAATGGCTCGCATACGCCCCCGTTCTTTACATCATTCAACGTAGCAAAATTCTGAGTGGAATTGTTCGTTACAACGTTACTAATATTTGCTTTGACCTGCATTTTTTATAAGCAAAACTAGATCGCAGAGTATTGATTGAATAAAGAAAGAACGGAAAACGAACATAGTAGAGATCTGTTTGACGTAAAGGTTACAGTTTCAATTCATATAATAATTAACGGTATTCAAAAGTATGTCAAAAACGTTTTTGGCTTCTTTTTTGATCAATTCTTACTTTCTTTAACATAGATTATTCTACAACATCTAATGACTCGCTGTCTTCGACAATAAATGCTATCTGTACAGTAGTCGTTCAAAACGATGACACAGAATTCAACTATATTTATGACTTATTTCTTGGTGAAAAACGGAATACTATATATATGACTGACGTAGACAACCAACTTGTATGGAAAATACAAAATCGCGAATCAGTCTCGTGGAAATTGAAAATTTTATCTTTCACCAATCCTATAGTTCTAACGATGCTCTATCTGACTCGCGATCGCTGGTTTTATACAACGGATCAGAAAACGAACGAAATCAAGAAGTATCTTCTTGGAGAAACATTGCAAACTATAGTCGGTGGCAATGGAGATGGTGCTAATATTAATCAAATCACTGACTGTTATGGTCTTGTTATAAATTCAGATGCAAGCTATGCTTACGTTAGTGACTTAAATAATAATCGCATTTTTCGTTGCTTCCTAAAAACACTAGGTGATGTCTTCATCATAGCTGGTAGAATGGGTCTTGATAATGAATTGGATCAATTATCACATCCTTGTAGTATTCATATTATTAAGAATCATCTCTATGTTGCTGATACAGGAAATGGCCGAATAATGCACGTAGAACTGAACATTTCGCAAATTAGTATTGTAATAAGTGGGTCGCAGTCGAGTTTCAATCGATATCAATTGAATCGTCCAACATCGATTATCAGCGATCAATATGATAAGAATTTTTATAATGCCGATCAAGGTCTATCTTGCAATGGCGATCCAATGTTCAGTGAATAGTAAAATTAGTTGATAATCGGATAGCCGGTATTGGTAACGAAATTTATGGATTAAAGTTAACTGAAAATAATTGCTATTTATATGCAGCAGATGAATTAAATTATCGAGTACTGAAAAGTAATACCATGATTTCAAAATGCACTAAGTTATTCTTGTTTTTCGAATATGAATTAATATTTATATATAAAAAAACACAGAATCGAGATCTAATACTTAGCGAGCGCTTCAAAATATATTCCGATCGGTCGGTCGTTATTCCTTCATTCCTTTATTCCACTGTTCCGCTATTCCTATATTCCACCACTATTCCTCTGTTCCCTTATTCCTCTATTCCTCTATTCCGTCATTCCTTATTCCTCTATTCCGTTATTCCATATTCCTCGATTCCTTCAGTTATTTATTCTGTTATTCATTCTTTTCTCTATATCTTTATTGCAGAACATTTGATTATGTACCGCCTTCTCGTTCAAAAGTAAATTTTTTCTTTTCTTTTATATCTTCAAAGATTATTAATTACTCTTTGAAAGTATTATCCACTCATCAAGCTATCGATTGCATATCTAAATCAGAAATGTTCATTATGCATAGATAAATCTCAGTGTGAAGCTATTTGGATGTTCATAAGAAAAATTTTCTCCTTAAAAATGCAACTGTATCACTCTTTTCACAGCAGTCTTAAAGAGAGCACGAAATCGAATAGAATTAAAAGTTTCTCAAGTTGAGCCGAATAGAATTGAATGAAACTTTCGAAAAAGTGAGTTGGATCGAATCAAATAGAACTGATTGAAGGTTTGCAGAAGATAGTTCTGATCGAATCGAATGAAAAATTTCTTCCGTCGAGTCGAATTGAATACGGTTGATACGCCTCATTCAGCTTTTTTTTGCGTTCGATCATGTGATAATCTTACAAGTTAGTGATGATTGGTTTACATGAACAGCACATACAAAAGAACACAACACCAATTTAGAAAATGTAATTAACTTTCTCTAATTTTTGTAAACGCATTTGTTAACTATGAATGTGCAATCAATGAATATGTACGATACAATCAAATGGTTCGTCGATAAGTGAAACACTTTCTTGATTCATACTTATTGACAATTATACAAAGAGTCTTCTGTCTTGACAAATTTCATAACAGAAATAATATATTCATTCTTAACGATAGATATGTGCAAGTAAAGCGACATGTTTATCTGTTCATAAGGATACTGTTTAATTATCTACTCATTTATTCTTTTTCAAATGTTTTCGTTATTGCTTTTGAATGAAGGACTATAAAGAAAACTGTTTTCTATGATTTTATTGTAAAGTATTTTAGTTAATTTTCGTAGCAGTTGGTTCTTGCTGATCCAATTTTGCGATATGCACTCATGTTGTGAAATTTCGACTGTTCAAGAATTAAGTACAGTCTTATTTTTAGGAACCATCGGCGTAGAAGTGTTAAGAGCAGTTTTATTCTGTAAAATCTGTTTTCTTACATACGGATGGTATTACAGAACTAAATGATCATAAAATATGTATGGAAATACCAAGTATATACAAGTTGAGGAAAACAGCAGAACATGTATATCAAATAAGATATTTTGAGAACAGTAGCATTATTTCTACTCGTAATGAAGGTGCAACCGAATTGAAAATCAAGTGCGGTCGAATCGAATCGATTGAATATTTTCTCTTTCGATTCTCACTCTGGTCTTGAATAACTTGAACTGTCGATATTTATTAGTCTTTAATTACTAATCAAATAAAATAAAGATTAATGAACATCGACAGTTTCAGTTATTCAAGAATGCTCTGAAAAAATGATACAATTGCATTTTTAAGGAGAAAATTTTTCTTATGAACATCCAAATAGCTTCACACTGAGATTTATCTATGCATAATGAACATTTCTGATTTAGATATGCAATCGATAGCTTGATGAGTGGATAATACTTTCAAAGAGTAATTAATAATCTTTGAAGATATAAAAGAAAAGAAAAAATTTACTTTTGAACGAGAAGGCGGTACATAATCAAATGTTCTGCAATAAAGATATAGAGAAAAGAATGAATAAAAGAATAAATAACTGAAGGAATCGAGGAGTATGGAATAACGGAATAGAGGAATAAGGAATAAGGAATAAGGGAACAGAGGAATAGTGGTGGAATATAGGAATAGTGGAATAAAGGAATGAAGGAATAACGACCGACCGACCGGAATATATTTTGAAGCGCTCCCTTACTACACCCACATCTATATCCACACCCACCCCAAAATGAGTATATTACTGATCTTTCGTTGTTTTAAAAGTTCTGCTAAATCTTTCGTATTTTTTCGACTCCTATTGTCTTTCAAGACTCAGGTTCACAATTAACATTTGCTGAAAGAACAAAATAATGTCTTCATGTTGAATGTCCACTTTATTCTATACCCTTGAGTAAACAATATACTTGATCTGTCTGAGCCTCATGGTTATAACACGCAAACTGGCTGACGATAATTCGATTTCATCCACAAATGAGTTTTCTGAAGAACAAAGGTGTGCTTGTTGATAAGATTCGTTGCTACCTCAACTCATTGAACAAGTCCAACCCAAAACTTCGTCAGAGGCTCAAATCGATTGCAACTCCAAGAATGGATATTGTGAGTTTAATAGAGACTTGAAGTGGGTCTACGATTTAGTTCGCTATCCATGTATTCGGCCGAAGCTCTGCTTGATTAGTCGTGGTCTCAATTAGTTGATGATATCTCTCAATTTGAGTTCACATTCGAATGAACTGGTCTAATGTCCCCGTAGTCTTCTGCCACAACGACAAACAAAATCAAAATTTTCTTTTCGATAAAAAAAAATGAATACTATTCAAATCATTAACTTGGAGCACCGTGCTGAAAATATCTATCTTTTTGATATCACTAATTACTTTGTTGAATATACTGGTCTTGATTCGTCTCTAGACTGGACGAACCAGTATCCGATTCCACAATTGAGAAAGACATGTCTAGCCGAATATATCAAACCTGCTCGCATCTTATTTCTGACAAATAATTAACACGAACTAGAAAAATTGTGCGATCAATGTGATCATCTTATTGTTCTCAGTCATCTCTATTGATCAATGTCGGCTTTTCTTGAAGCTATGCTTAATTCGAAGTCGTTGAAAAAATGTAATTATGTCACCTATGCAGAGAGTTGTTCCAATCAATACAAATTACACAAAAACAACCTATTTTCTTTGTAAATTATTCATCCATATTTCGAACTCACCATTGAATCAATAAATCTTCTGGTAACTTTTTCAGGTTTATTTAATATTAGATTTTTTAGAAGATTTCTTTTATTGTTCAATTTATATTGCAGAGAAATAAAACCCGATATGAAGAGAACAGAGATATAAAATGAATCGAGGATGTGTGATATTTATAACTAGTTGAACAGCAAAGATTGATAATCGTTTCCAATTTTCTGTTGAAAACGTCACTCTTTCTAGTTTTGTTTAACGTTTGGATGCTTATTGAAATGAAATTGAGTATTTGATAGACACATAGGAGCATTATAGATAAACAAAGTTGCTGTAATGATATATTTTGCCACTGAATGATAAAAAATAATTTCATATTAACTAGAAATCTTTCTTCAAAATATAACTCAATTTTATAGTTCTTCTTGACACATGTGATTGGATGCAGATGTCATCAATAATCAAGAAAAATTTACTTTCATGTAAAAGAACTGCAAGACTTTTTTAAAAACATCTCACAACAGTGATTCTACAGTCGTTTTGGCATACTTTTTTTCGATATCTTTGATTCTACAGCTGAATCTTGATGAAAGATACAGAGAAAAGCATCTCTAAACCATACTTGAACATATATAGTTATTTTGTCTATGTCAAGGAGTATAACTGTAAAGAAAACTTTTCGTAGATTGTGGCAAATAGTATAAGTTTGTTTTTTTAAATTTTTGATGCTTCATATTTTTTTTAATAATATATGCAAATGCTAATGTATGGAAGGAACAAAAAAAACACAATTGCTATCTGGCTTCTGTACATAGGATGATAAGGTAGAAACTTTTTGATAAAGGAAGCCTGCGAAATAAAATTTCAATTTGAACATAATTAACAATAAAACAACAATAATGAAATTTCATATAAGAAGAGTTGTCCTTGTTTTTTTTTCAACAATCATTATTTCATTACAAGCTGTAAGACGAGTGCACAAGATGTCAGAGAATAAACAGAAAACACGAGTAACTGTGATTTCAGTTCCACGCAAACGTGTTCGTTCAAATATCCGTAAAAAACATCAAAGCAAGGTATATTATTTTAAATAATTCGTTGTAAGCTATTGAGACTATGTTTTCAAGGTTTCCACGGCAGGGACTCCTGCCAGTATAAAGTCATTAAATGTAACTAATATGATCCGTACAATAGAGCAAAGTGAAAATAAAAATGACAAAGAAAACAAGGTAAACAACATTATCTTAACTAAAAGCTACTATTTTAAAAAATGATTAGGTCGCAATTATTTTTTATTGTAAACAGCTAAAGTTGAATTATTCCTATCTCGTTTTAAAAATATCTTTTAATTATTTATTTAGAAATCGTTTAATGATTCAAACTTAGAAGTAATGAGTGGCATATCAACTCTATTTGATCAATATAAATCAAGAATATTGTTACCAACTTCCATGTGTCCATGTTTTGTCGAAACACATGAAATTTCATCAACACCTAGAGCAAATATTATTCACTTCAAAACGATACGATCAATTGAAGACGAATCTCATTTGGTTTCAGCAGTAATTATTCTCTTAATTTTGTAATGTATTTTTCACATTATTTTATTATTAACATAGGCCTCATCATTCAATAAATCCTTACCTTTATTTATGAACGATGATGCTTTAACTGGTTCATCGAGAATAAATTCCATGAGAGAATATCAAGAACAAAAATCAAACCGAAGAAGTCGCCGATATACAGCCGGCATTGTTGAAGAACAATTCAATAAAGGAACGAAAAGTATTGATAAAAATAAAAATCATAAAAAAAACGTCGTTTTATTGGTGAAATAAGTCCAGCATGTTTCACTTGTTGTTGTGTGTCAACATTTATTGGAATATTATTGTTTCTTATGGGCATTGCTGCTCTCCTGGTTTTTCTTCTCACAAATAAACATATAACAACAACCACAGCATCAGCCACGTCAACATCAACAACTTCAACAACGTCAACATCACCAACACCAACAACAACATCCACAACAACAACAACTTCAACTACAGCCACAAGTTAGTTCATTGTTATTGATAATTCATCCAGACTTGCTCTTCTAGAGAGAGACTTGAAACTTGACAATATTGAAAATTTATTGTTTAAAACACACACATGAAATATATTTTTATGACTACAAGCTTCAGAAGGGCTAACCAAATCTATAGAGGAACAACATCTTTTCGATTCACTCACTGAATAAAACAAGAGTCCTTGCAAAAATATTGTTTCGTTTTCTCATGTCAATTTCTTTAGCTACCACTACAGCAACAAGCACGACAACTATTAGCAGTAAATTATTTTATTGAAAGTCTCTAGTAAATCTATTTATTTATTTATTTAACTGTGTAGCTACTACAACAACTTCAACAACATGTAAGTATTAGCTTCTTCTCATGATAGAAACAATCTAATCATTTATTCTTCATATCCACAAGCACAAACTACAACAACAGCATCAAGTAAGTGAAATGTAAAATTAAGAAGACAATAAACACTCTTTTGCTAAGTGTTTCGATGTGATGTATGGTTACTAAAAGTTTTGAGTATTTTATTTCATTGCTAAAAGAAAACTTCATTTCTTTTTCTTTCACTTAAACGCTTTATGTTAATTATTCTAGCCACCATCAGTACAAGTACAACAAGTGAGTTAAATTTTTGTTGGTTTATCTTCTATCACTTGATTTATTGATATTAACAGCAACAACTCCAACACCACCGTGTGCACCAAGCTCTGTTGGTTCTGCGAGTACTCTTTATACGACTTTTTCTGGCGACGGAACTTCATACACGTGTTTCGCATATGAATGGACGTCACCTACTACAGGTCTAGTCACTCTTGCCTTTGAACTGCGTCATGATCCAACCTTTTGGTACCTTGATGATGTCTCAGTATATGCAGGAGCTACTCAAATGCTGACTAATGAAGATTTTGAAACTGGCTCTCTGCCACCTTGGGTAGAAACATCGCCGTATGGAAGTTGCGGAACTTATCTTACTGACACATGTAGTTCTTCATGTCGCAGTGGAAGTTATTGTCTGTGTGATGGAAGTTATGGATGTGCTGATCAAGTAAGTCAACAGTTTTCGGCTACAGCTGGACAAGTCTATGTGGTGAGCTTTTGGCTACAATCAGGTTCAACAGGTTCTACCGTATATGCGAAAGTTACTCTCTCGTAATTTATTTTAACAAAAGACTTCGACTATGAACATTATTTCATCGTTTCTAACTATACCCGACAAAAGACGAAAAGATAAATGATATTATTTTTCTTCTTGGAACTAATTGCTGCCTTGTGAGATTCATTCAAATAATAAATATTGTCAACAAAAGAAAATTTTTATTCAATGCTCTCTTTTACAAAAGTAACACGATCTTTCGATAAGGAGTGAAGGCATGGATGTATCTGTGAATATCAGTGTATTTTTCTTCAACTACTTTAAACCCATGATCATACCATCAAGCTGCCTTGAATTAAGTTCGTAAGGGTGTGAGTATGAATGTTGATCTTCTCTGTAGTCAGATTCATATCTTCTTTTGAAAAAACCATTGAGCTTTAGCAGAAATGTCAGCAAAATGAAGAGAAATCCATGTTTTCTGATAGATCAATTTAGATATTTGGTGCTGTTCTTAAGAAGCTGTGCGTAGCGTGCAGTTTCTGTATTTTTATTTATCAGAAGAGAAAATGATGAGAGAAACAGAAATTCTAGATTACGGGTGTATGTGGATATCAATGCCTTCTCTTCGCTCAACATGATGCAAACTCCACTCTCAAATATTTCAATAGAAAACAGCAACGAATAAAGAGAAATAATCAACATAAAAAAAAAGGATACTTGTTGTTAATGCGTATCCATCGATCACAAAATGTAAGTACATATATATACATAAATTGTATCTCTAGAAAATACTATCCATTTCATTGAATAATCATTCATAATCCGGGCACAATCAATTATGAGAAATGATCGTTCTTCCATAGTATATACTATCAAAATTGTAATAATGAAAAATCCGTTCGTTAAAAATTCAAACAAAGAAAAAAAAATAATAATAAGATTTTTGCTCGAAAGATGATGAAGAGTTTGATCAACAAAAAATACGCTCCAGTGCAAACCAAGAAAACTACACTACGTAACCTATTGCAAATAAAAAGAAACAAACAATACAATGTTTACTTACGAAGAAATATTATCTTCATTGGATCAATATAATGATTTTTATTCTCTGGATTATTAAAAAAAAGTTCGAAATGACTTGAGTACAAAGAAGAAATGAAGGAAAACTCAATAGATACATTATTTTCTTTTCTTCTAAATCAGTGATAAAGATAATATAGTTACCATTCTTTTTTATGTGAAATCCAATTTCTATATGCAAAAAAAAAAGTTTTACTGAGTTGTAACTTAAGTTATGAAAAAATGCGTGTTTTTATATATGATTTCAGTGTTGAGATGATTTAAACTTTTCAGTTTTTCTTTCGTTCATTTTTGAATAAATCTGATCATTTATTATAATAATCATCCAACAAATTGTTCTAAGAAAGATTAAAATGAAAAAAAAAAAAGTAATACAAGGTTACATAAACTTTTACATTCTGACCCAGATGCTTTGAAAGAAACTCTTTCGCTTCAAGATATATACTTTAATAAAAAAACGAGAATTCAAAGATTCTTATACTATTCTCTCCCACAACAAAATGTTGCTTGCTAAGAGAAATATGCTGCAAATTTCCATTCTCAAAAAGTAAACAGTACACAAAAATACGCAAACCCTCGATTGACTTCGTTAAGTTTATAATGCATGCCTAAATCTAATAAGATAAATTTTTTGATGTTGGAAAGTAATCATATATTTGCATCGATAAAAAATAAATAAAGAGAATGTCGTCTGGGTATCGGTGTGGTTGTGGGTATTCCTTTCACATACGACCACGCCTACACTTCCACTCTCAAGATCGAAGATTATTCTAAATTGAAGCATTTTGGGAAGACAAAATATTGAATTATAGTACGAGAGTGGCATCGACAGATGCGATCACAAAGATGAAGACATTTCTCTTGCATTTCGGGTGTGGGTGTTCTTTTAATTTCCACTCATATCCACCCTGTCCATATTTCTGCACTCTTAAAAATAATTTAGATTGTTTCATTTCTAGACTGCGTATAATTCCATAACAGAAAGTAGTCGAACAGAATGGTATTCTAGAATGTTTATGGTCTATTCGCCAATTTCTGAATAGCTGTTTGTGGAACTCACATATATTTTCGAAGAAAATAGTGAGTGTAAGTTTAAGAGCTAGATTTTACCACTCCCTCCTCCGTCTCCATTACAGACTTTAGTAATCAAGAATAACAGGCATCAGACTTTCTAAAGTCTTTTGTAAATAGATCAAGTATGATCTGCTGTAGATTTCATCGATATGTAAAACAGATTTTTTAGTTAATTAATTCAATGATTATAATAATAAGAATGTTAAATCGAATTAAAAAAAAACATAAAGAGCGAATAGCAACAATGCAAACAAAAATAGGACGCCTGTAGAAAAAAACAAAAATTTGTGTTCAAAATGCATACATTACTCTGGTGATTGATTATCCTGGCAAACAGCTATAGTCTATAAGAGATTTTTCATTTATACATTTTGTATTAATTCAATAAAACTAGAGCATATATATGTGAGTTTCACATTTCAGTCCCAAAGGGGCTGCACTAACAAAAAGTATTCGTTAGTAGAAAGCAGGCAGAAACAGTGAAATTAGATACATCAAATACATTTACAACTAAGCAACGATAAAAAGCAATGAACTAATCTATTCGATAGTCTCAATTTTTATTTTGTGCTCGTTCGAATAGGATCGACTTCTATTACATGCGGAAGATTATAAGCTTGACACTAGGCTTGTACTCTGTGTGTGGAAGGAGAGAGATTATAGTAATATATGATCAATTAAATAATTACTTATTTGTTTTTCTTTTTGTCAGGCTCAACAAAAGTTTTTTTTTTTTGTGTAAACAAGAGAATGTTTAGTATAAAATACACAATGATAAAATCTTAGACTTGATACTAAACTTGTTGTTGTTCGTTCTTGACATCAATGACTATATATCACATTATAATAGTTGATTTTTATTTTTTATAATTATTCTATTTCGTGAAATACTTTCAAACTTAATCTCATCAAGATGTACTTGATTATAACTTTGACACGATCTAATATGATAAACTGTCTTTTTATCGATCACTTTCTGACTTTTAATGATCAAAGTATCAACTTCTAGTTCAATAACACGCATAACAATATCATATTATGTCTCATTTTACATGGAAAGATTGAATAAAGAGAGACGAATAAGTTTTTTCTCAACAAAAATACTGAAAAATGTACTGGATAATTCAGAGATGTTTTCAAAGTTATTCTTAACAAAATTTGTTTTAGTGATTCGATGTACTCCAACTGAATTACTATATAAACTATATCATTCATACTTATTGAACTTATCGACAGACCTCTTGTTTTCTCACTAAATACGATTTGAAAAATAATATAGATAAAATTGTTTTTGTAGTATACTAATGATTCATGAAAATTATTTTAGTGAGATAAGAATGAATATTTCAATAATTCAGAGAATTTTACAGTAAGAAAAAAAAACGAATGTGGATATGTTTTACTTGTATTCATAAAATTTTTTATAAGAGATCATTTTAAATCGGTGCAGACAGTTTTAAAACATGAATTATCATTTTTACATCAAAATTCAATATTCGAATACATTCGAATCCTGAATCACGCTTGTTCTCTCCCGAGTTTTTTTCAAATTATCTCGTTGACTGAAAGACTACTGACTGCACAAAATGCAGTAGCCGACTTAATTCTTTTCACTCACATAGTTTTCTCCACACCTAACTATCATTTTGACATGAGAAAAAGTTTAAAATACAGAAAACTATAATTAATAGCTGAGAGCCTCCTAATATGGTCGTAGTTGATTGAGATTCCTTATCTCTTAACTTGTCTCATGTCGTATAGGATAGCGTTTTGACATTTTTCGGGCTCATGTAGTTAGCCGCATTTTCTACTCAGGTTTTGTTCGAGTGGCAATTCAATTCTTTGTTTGTTCTTTTTTTCAGTTATTTATTAAAAATAAACAACATTAAAATATACGACAGACCCTGGTATAAGACTTAGGAAAGCTTGGAGCATGTGTTTTTTTTCTATGTTGTCCCGCACGGCTCCAGAATATATTTGTATTTAGTAAATGTATTTTATCAAAAAAAATACTCAATCTATTAAAAAAAAACAATAGTGTACAAACTGGAATAAGTCACTATTGTAAATAAACATCTTACCTGATAATAATTCTGTTTTGTTATAACTACTTAAAAGAGATGTTGAACATGTTGACATAATATAATTATCATTAGGATAAGATACAGCAACATTCCAATATGTGTCAAATACATTATGTAGTTGATTAGCATGAAACATTTCTATGATATATTTATGTATTCGTCAAAAACTAATTGATGCTTGAACAATAAAATTATCAATAATAGAATTGGTTTGAGTTTGAAAAGAATGACGTGTTAATACTTCAACACTAATTAGTTCTCGTGAAGAAAATAGTTCAATCTTTTGTTCAATTACATTTTTTTCCAATAGAACAAAGTTATGCTAAAAGACAAAATTATGTACTTTATATTTTCATGTCTACATTCGAATAATAACTGTCACGTGATTCATTGCCCCATAGTAATTCAATAAAATTCGATAAGATAAAATAACTTGAACATACTTGATGATAAGTAATTGATTTGACAGAAAGAAATTTCGAATATTGTCTTACCTTTTTCTACAAAGCATTCTTGTGTAACATGTTGCTGATGTCTGCGACAATGATTATATATTTCTCGAAGTAGTTTCACAATAGGAAGAATCACTGTTCGAAGTGCAATAGAAAGACCATCGACTATACCAAGTATAGTTGCAATAGCATAAGCTCTATTAAAACGTTCTTCATAAGCATAAGTACATTGATTATAATAGAAACTAAAATTTGTAGAATTCGCCCAATTTTCAATGAATAATTGTGAAACAATTTTATCTGATTTCGTATCAGGAGAAAAACAACTATCAACTGTTGAATCAAGTGAAATAACATTGATAACACGAGAATCTACTGGAGCATTGTATGAGTCAAATGAACGCCATTTAATAAGAATTTGAATACATGATGTATTATAAAAACATTCAAGTGAAGATGCAAGAAGCGAATCAATAAATAAATAACCTACAACTAAATCCAGTATCGTTAGACTTGGTTCGGGTGAAGATAAAAAATAAGATGTTGTTCTACCATAAAATCCTTCGGAACGTGTACAAGAAACACCAAGTTTCACATGAACAGTTGCTGTTCCAATTATATTTTTAGATAAAACGAACTGATTCAGAATTATTGATGAATATTTCATATAATATAGCATTAGTACTACGATGAACAATAAATTGATTAAGTTGAATTGAAGCACGAACAAGTTCAAATAGGGCGATAAAAGATGTTAGAGTCATAAGTAATCAACGCAAATAAATAAATCAAATAGACAAACATCAAGATTAAAATATTATTGTCAGCAATCCTTTTGCTATACATAAAAAGAGAAACTGATAACTTAAATATAGTCAAAACTATCGTAAAGTTATTCGAATTCATAGCAATCAAATGATAAATGTGATTATTACTAGGCTTTCTAGATCAATGATGATGCAAATCTTAAAATGAGGTAATTTCATCTATTCAATTCTATTTTCAAGATTAGTTTCTACTTGTTTTAATATAAAATATACAATCTTTCATCAGAACTAAAGATGAATCAAAGAAAATTAGATAATACAAAGAATCACAAACTTTTATCTCATTTGGCGTCTCAATCCCTGGCATGTGGGATCATCTATCAGATTAACTCATAAGAACTAAGAAAATAAATTTAATCCTTTCTTTATCACATACCTGTTGCTGAAATTGTTGTTTCAATGTAGATGTTTGTGTATTAAATGCACTCTCTGTCAATACTTGACCGCTGACATATTAAATTTTTGAAATTCTTCTTTATTATCGAAAAGATTTATATCGATTAAAAAAGAATACAATTGGTTGTATTTACTCGCTCCCTCGTGAGATGTTGCTCCTACCATTTTAGAAACTACACAGTAGTCTATATATATAAAGAAGAATGTTTGTCTGTTTGTTTGTCTGTTCGCTATGCATTTGAAGACCCTACGAGCAAATGCTATGAAACTTTCCAGAAATGGTCTTTACACCCAGGGGAAGGTCGACATGTATTTTTTTCCGAAAAAAAAACCAATCCTACGCATGCTACAGGCGATCTATGAAACCGACCAATAGGGTTGCAGCATTCCAAAAAATTAAAATAGTTGATAGCGAAGGCGGTCGAAGGCCGTCTGAGCGCTCATATACAACACTTCACATGTTCCATCTATCTATGCCAATCATGTGCTTGCTACAGGCAACCTAGGAAACTGACCAATAGGATTGCAGCATTCCAAAAAATTAAAATAATTGATAGCGAAGGCAGCCGAAGGCCGTCTGAGCGCTCATCTATATACATAAAGAAATGTGTTTGTGTTTATTTTACTTACAACAATGACGTATGCATTTTTTCTTACGTACAAAAATGACGTCTTTGTTCTTTTTCATGACTCAGAAATATGACATATTAACGATATCTATATATACTATTTATACAATTTTACTCAATAATCAACTGTATTACATTCTTGAATACATATGACTTCATTTCTTTGTCATTTGTTGTGTATGATGCTATGTATAACATTCCTCCTCATATATATCATATTTTAAATCGTCATTGGAATGTTTACGTCATGCTAAATGATGGTGATGATATAGAAATATGCTATTGTTTTGCATCTATATAAATAGGTATCTTTTTCTTTTGTTTTTCATGAATAAAACTAAACTCACTATAGTGTTTCTTATTCTTCAACGCTTTTAATAAAATCAATATTCTATTCTATCACTGAACATAATTGTCCAAAAACGAGTAAGTGTCCAATCTATATATAAAAAGAAGAATGTTTGTCTGTTCGCTATGCATTTCCACACCGTACGAGCAAATACAACCAAACTTTCCGAGAATCTTCCTCTCATCCAGGAGAAGGTCGACATCTACTTTTTTTTGAAATAAAGTTGGTCCTTCGTCCGAAAAAAAGTCTGCCTATGTTACTAACCAATCAGATTGCAGTATTCGATACTGTAGAAGCACTGTGGAGTACCGTTTCGTGAGCACACAGAAATATGGAACCAGAGGTTTTCGAGGATGGTGAGTTCGCATCCGGGGTCCATTTACCTCGAAATTTGATTGGTTGTTTGGAAACCAATAGGAATTCAGCTCTTACGAAAATAGACCCAAACACTTATACTTTCAAGGAAATGATGGGGCAGGGTTTTTTTTAGAGGCGATGAGTTCGAATGTGAGGTCCATTTGCCTCGAAATCTGATTGGTTGTCCGGAAACCAATAGGAATTCAGCGCTTAAGAAAATAGACCCAAGCGCTTTTACTTTTAAGGAAATGATGGGGTAGGGTTTTTTTTAAGGCGGTGAGTTCGGATCTGAGGTCCATTCGCCTCGAAATCTGATTGGTTGTGTGGAAACCAATAGGAATTCAGCTCTTACGAAAATAGACCCAAACACTTATACTTTCAAGGAAATGATGGGGCAGGGTTTTTTTAGAGGCGATGAGATCGAATCTGAGGTCCATTTGCCTCGAAATCTGATTGGTTGTCCGAAAACCCATAGGAATTCAGTTGCTAAGAAACAAGCTAATCAAAATGGCGTTTTCAGGAGAAAAGTTAGGTAAGGGCTTCCAGAGGCAATGAGTTCGAATTAGGGATCCAAGCACTGAATATGAGTATAGGGTATGAAAACGAGTATCTTCTTCTGTTTATATAAACAACAATGTTTGTCTGTCTGTTCTTTGTGCATTTGATTTCGGTAATAACTGTCACCATGAAACTTTCCATGGCATACCCCTTAGTCTAGAGAAAAATTGAGGCGAGATTGGTGCGACAGACAAGTAAAGGAAGGTAATTGGGTGTAATTCTACCCAGGTTGTGAAAATCGAAAATTCTGTAATCTCTATCTCTAATCTATATATATAAAGAAGAATGTTTGTCTGTTCGCTATGCATTTGGACATGGGGCGACCGAATGAAATGAAATTTTGCACGGAATACCCTTTCGTTCGGAGAAAGGTCATAGGGTAGTTTTCGATCCAAAATTGTCAACTTAGGGGGAGGGGGTATTTGGGCCTCTCTTTGTTGGATTTCTACAGTAAATGCCTTTTCCAGGGAGCCTGTGCGTATGATTGTTTTTCTCAAAAAATCGAGAATGACAGAAAATAAAGATCTACGATTTTCGTCATCGGGTACAAGAGATTCTAGGGCATGAAGGTATGCTTAGATTTTATTCATCTATTTGCTGAATAATTCGATGTTAGCACCCTTTCATGGTCCATAGTATTTCTTTAATAAGTTTTTCCCATTTCCACAAAAATATTCCAAAATGATTAATCTAGAAATGATTTAAAGTGCTCACCAAATAGACTCATCACAGTAATTCTCAAAGAGATTTTTCAAGGCGAATTAGAAGATAATAGAAGAAGGCCATAGCNTACAGTATGTTCCATAGGTAGGCATATTTTATTCTCTTCCTTATGTATATTGAAATATTTTTACAATAAATTTATTTCATAAATGTTTCTACAAAACTAAAAACGTGACGTTTCGTTGTTTGAAAAACAACTTCATCAGACAAAAATTGTTATGTTGCACATTATTTATATACAAACTATAACTTGGGGATATTAAACAGTCTAATTTGTTTATTTCTTCTTTTTCCTTTGTACAACATTTTTAATAGTGATACAGAACAGAACGGTAAAGTAATACACTGGGCGAATGACTCATTTCCGTATCGTTATTAAAAATATTATATAGAAAGGAACAAGAACCAATGAACAAATTAGACTGTTCAATATGCCTAAGTTATCTATATATATAAAGAAGAATGTTTGTCTGTTTGTCTGTTTGTTCGTTATGCATTTCCACACCATACGAGCAAATGCAACCAAACTTTCCAGGAATCTTCCTCACATCCAGGAAAAGGTCAATGTCTACTTTTTTTAAAAAACAGTTGATCCTTCGCCTGGAAAAAGCCTGCCTATGTTGCTAACCAATCAGATTGCAGTATTCAATACTATAGAACTACTACTGACCACCACTTCGTGAACACACAGAAAATATGAAACTAGAGGTTTTCGAGGGCGGTGAGTTCGAATCTGGGGACCATTTATCTCGAAATCTGATTGGCTGTTCCGAAACCAATAGAAGTTCAGCTCTTAAGAAAATAGATGAAAACACTTATACATTCGGGAAAATGATGGGGCAGGGGATTTTTGGACGTGATAAGTTCGAATCTGGGTCCATTTGCCTTGAAATCTAATTGGTTGTCCGGAGACCAATAGGAACACAGTTCCTAATAATATAGACGAAAACACTTACAGCTTCAGGAAAATGATGGGGCAAGGGTTTTTTGGACGTGATAAGTTCGAATCTGGGTCCATTTGCCTCGAAATCTGATTGGTTGTTCCGAAACCAATAGGAACACAGCTGCTAAAAAGCCAGCTAATCAAAATTGTGTTGTCAGGAGAAAAGTTAGGTAAGGGCTTCCTGAGGCAATGAGTTCGAATAAGGGATTCAAGTACTGAATATGAGTATAGGGTATGGAAGCCCGTTTCTTCTTCTGTTTATATAAACAACGACGTTTGTTTTTCACTTCTTTGTGCATTTGATGTCGGTAATAACTAGCGCCATCAAACTTTCTCTGGCATGCCCCTTAGTCTAGAGAAAAATTGAGGCGAGATTGGCGTGACAAGCAAGGAAAGGAAGGCAACTGGGCGTAACTCTACCCAGGTTGTAAAAATCGAAAATTCCATAATCTCTATCTCTATCTCTAATGTACGTTAAGAAAAAGAATTTTGACAGGGTGTGCAAAGAGTGATCATGTATTCATACCGGGAACAGTCATGGCTCTTACTGATATACCGTTTGAGTTCAAGCGTCTTCAGTTATCTGTACCTGCTGCCTTCGCGATGTCCGGCAACAACACTGAAGAGCAATTGCTTAAGGTGGCTGGTATTAATCTAGAGAGTCCTTCCCTTTCTCATGATCAACTTAACGTAGTATGCTCGGGAGTTGGGACTGGAAAGAATTTCTATGTTTTAGCCCTTGATGCGAAAACCAAGAAGTTTGTGTATCAAACAGCTTTGCAATAGACTTTGTATTTCATTAAGCAGTCTTTTCTAATAAAAGAAGTCGATCAAACAAAAAGAACACTGAAAAGGATAGAAATGTTTNATTGATATCTCAATAAT